GGTGATCCACCGGCAAGCCCACAGTTGTTGACAGCCATAAGATTAGATACAGGCACAAAGGGATATGTCAACATACTAGCAAAGAATCCTGTGACAGCTTGAGAATAACTTTTCATTTCATTCGTTTTAGAGACCCCACTGTCCAGTGCATAGGTATTGACAAGATAAGCCAGTGAGTTACAGAGCAACAAGGAAATGATGTCACCTAGGAGGTTAGGAATTAGACCCGCAAAAAATCCTACGGTGCCTTCTTCCCAGTAAATGGTCAACATTGAGTCACACAGCCCGCAGTACTTGAATTCTCTGGCAATGAACTGTACCATAGATCTCAGAGTGATCCAGAGGAAAGGGATGTTTAATGAGGGTGGCAGCAGAATGAGCAATCGTCTCTCGAGTTGTCTCTTTGATAACTTGGTCGGTCAAAGGAGGATGAGCCTTCCTTTTGTACATTTCCGGATACTAACTCCTCAGGTTTCTCACACTCCTGGTAAATCTGTAAAATTCCCTAAGGACCACAGTTCCAAGGATTCCCGAACACAGTCTTGGAGTTAAGCCTGTGAACAACCCACGCCTCTATTCTTTTCTCATATTGACAAAATGTTCCTGAAAGCCTACGCTGACATTTCAAACAAAAGAAATGAATGAGAAACTGTCCCCTGAGACATGGACACTGACCATGACCTCGTCTCCGGGAAAACCAGTGCTTTTCCAATCACTCACATCATTCACATAAGTACAAACAGTGTAGATAAAAACTTTCCCAACAATAAAATTTCATCTAGCTGTACATGTGTAACCAAGAGTGGGTTTAAATGTTTGGTAAAGAAAGCTTTTTAAAGGGAAAAGTCAAAATAGCTCAATATTTCAAAGACTCGCAAGAACTAGGTTAACAGATATCAAACAATTGTGAACAAGGTACCAGACGTGAAACAATAACTGACGATAAAAATTTATTAACCTGATCTTAGAAATGGGTGGTTAGCTGTGGTTAGCCTTGAATGATTTTCTGATTTATTGTTTTGGCTACCAATGGATAAGTTGTGTGTCTCTGCGCCTAGTAACGATGGTATCATCTGGTTATTGTTTCACTGAACACAAACTCTGAGAAGATATTTGTCTTATTATAAAAGGCCTTGCTTGAAAGCTGCAAAATACACTCAGATTCAAACTGCCTCTGTGTTTCTGTTTGTCACCGCCAAATCCTTACCCATCTAGTCTTCAAGAACCCTCATCTCAGGGACACCCATACCCAACTGGGGTGGTCCGTGACACTCCTCTTACTCAATATTCCCAGAGCCATTGATGGCATGGTGTAACTGACTTGTTCAAGGCTGTGGCCATGTACATAGCTTATGTTCTGAATCTCAGACAGCCAAATGTTTATGCATTGACCAAAATTAAATGTGGTGTGCCCTTTTGGCGTGGCTTGCAGAAGACAAACTTGTTTCTGTGTTAGTGAAATCACAGTTTCACCCTCCAGTAATGAAGGCAGAACAGCACAGGACGAATTCAGCACTAGGTGGTTGCTGGACTGACTGACCACTGACTCCCGACACCCATTTCCTTTCCAAATCCCGAATTCCTGGAATGTCCTCCCCAGGTCAATATCGCTAATAGTGTAGATTTGGATATTGACTGGCAATAGCGGAGGCCTGTGAGGGAAGGATAAAATAAAGATGGTTCTTTAATGTCACGTCATTTGCATAGAGATGGAAATGATTGTCCAGTTTCCCAGGATAGCTCTCCAGAGTGAGTTACAGTGTCTAAAATTGACAATATTTCATATGGGAGTAAACCATGCACCTGGAACTTCACGTTTACGGTTAAGTAGTGCTACTTGCATGGAGCAGTTTAATTCATCGTTTTCTTCGACTGAGTCATTCAGCTTCTCTATATTGTCTTCAAGGCTGATATTGTGTCTCCTATACGATCTCTTTGAGTTATTATTATGCTTATTGCATTTTTCACATTTTGTTTCATTTCAGTTTGGGTGGGTTTTTTTGTTGGTTTTGTTGTTGTTGTTGTATTTTTGTTTGTTTTGGCTTTTCGAGACAGGCCTTCTCAGTGGCTTTGGAGGCTGTCCTGGAACTAGCTCTTGTAGACCAGGTCGGTCTCGAACTCACAGAGATCCGCCTGCCTCTGCCTCCCACGTGCTGGGATTAAAGACGTGCACCACCAATGCCCGGCGGCACTCACTTCTTACCATATATACCAACCTGGTTCCTCAAGGGACCTGCCTGCCTCTGCCTTCTGCATGCTGGGATTAAAGCAGTGCTGAACATAGATGGCTCAAACACTCGATTTTGTTTTTTGGTTTTTTTTTTTTTTAGAACTCCTTTTATTTTTAATTTCATAATGCTTTGGCTGTCAGTGCTGTGACTGTGGACTACTCTCAGGAGGAGGAGGGCAATGCTTGAACCCACTCAGCTGGCTTTGCACAGAAATTGGATGTGCTGGAAGTGCAGAGGTCTGTTTTTGTGCGTAAGAATAGTATTCTTCCATTCTGCATTTCCCCTCCTCGGGATTCCAGCTAAAATTATTCTGGAAGTTTGTGAGCTTTTTATAAATGAGTCTCCCTTCTCATAATGGAAAGTGAAAGTCCATAGAGGAGAAAGCGTACGTCTCTGAGGAGAAAGGTTTTCCCAGTGGAAGTGTTATAGTTCAGAGGGGGAAGGTTTCACCACTGCGAGTGTCACAGTTCTGAGGGAGAAGATTTTCCCTCTGCAAGTGTTTCAGCTCTGATCCCATGAGGAAGATTTCCACAATTCAAGTGTTAAAAGTCTGAAGGGAAAGGTGTTCTTACAGTTGGGAAGCAAGGAATACCACAAAGTCACATGGCACAGCCAACCTCACACATGACATCTGTTGAGCAGAGACAGTGTGTGTCTGTCTCTGCACTGGCAAGAAGCATCACAGAACTAAGCAGAAGACAGGGTTTATAAAGCACTTCTTGGGCACAGAGCTTTCCACATCGAGGATTGGTAGGTTTTCAAGTCCAGAACCTGGGATTTGTGCTCTATAGGGCAGAGTTCTCAGCTGCCTGTATCCTTAGGCACTGTTTGTGGCAATTAGAGTGTTCTGTGTGTGGACTGTCACATGGTCCTCAGTGGTCAGTCCTGGCCAATACCATGCATGCCTCAAGGAACTTATTTTCCACCACCTATTTTGTTTAATATTGATAAAGAATCAAGGATCTAGAAAGGTTGAGGACATTATCGTTAGACTATCTATGGTGCCAGTTAGCATACCAAAGCTCATGCTAGCTTACAGGTCCTTCAGTATTGCAAATGACTGTACAGAGAGTTAGAAAAGGGTTTCTGTAAGATGGTGGCTAGGTTCTGATTGAATGTCTTAATTAAAATACCAACCATTAACCATCCAGAAATGTGAGTAACCCTGATTCAGTAATACCCACCCACTCAAAAGTGTACCACCATGTCTGTCTCTTTGTTATATGACTAACTCCTTTTTTTGTTTGTTTGTTTGTTTCCATAAGTTGCTTACACAAATACCTAAAGTTTGTTGGGGATTGCCTTTGCCTCTTAACCAGGCAGGACAGAACAGTTTTCTGCTTCCTTGTGTAGACTTTGAAGATCTTCTTGTGGTTTTCCTGGTTGAAAAGCCTTCCTCTTTCCCTTTATGAGTGATAATCTCAAATTTAGCTTAGAGATTGTTCATCCTACCAGCAGCTAATCAAGAACTCTTTTAATTTATAATTGGATTGAGAAATATGGCTCTAATATCACTTATCTATTCATGGATAATCATTTTCCCAGCAGAGAATATTCAAAGGACTCTCTCTTTTCCTGGTTTGTCTTTTGACATATTCAGTTTACTTAACCTCTCTGCTTTGTGTTTCTTTCTGGAATCTGTTCTGTTCAATTTGTACATGTTTCTTTATTTGTAGGTCCATAATATCTTTATCCTTCTATCTCTATATATTATGGTATATGATCAAGTCCTTTGGTACACCCAAGAATACTCTTTCTTGGGGATAAGTTTGGTATTTCTGACTTTCCTGTGTCCATGTAACTGTTTCCATATCTACTTTTGCAGAAAAGATCAGTATTTTCTTTATAGGATTGCATTAGTTATTCTGATTGCTATAATAATATAATGACGTGCACGATAGTTTCATGTCAGTTTGAGAGAAGCTATAGTTAATGGACAGGAGGAAACTTCAATTGAGAACATGCTTCCAAAAGAACTGGCTTGTAGGTATTTTCTTAAGGAGTGATTGGTGGTAGAGGGCCCCATCTATTTTGAGTGGTTACATTCTGGGCTCTGGTCCTTTATTCTGTCAGAAAGCATGATAGGGGATGGGATGGCTTTCTGTATAAATGTTTTTATTATTGGTTGATTAATAAAACATTGATTGTTAGTAGTCAGGCAGGAATAAAACACTGATTGGCCAGTTGCCAGGCAGGAAGTATAGGTGCGGCTACCAGACTAGAAAAATTCTGTGGAGAGGAAGGCAGAGAGAAGCCACATAACTGCTGAAGGAGTAACATGCTGGATTATGGGTAAGCCACAGCCTCGTGGCAATACATAGTTTAATAGAAATGGGTTACTAATTAAGAGAGAGCTAGCCAGTAAGAAGCCTAAGCCATTGGCCAAACACTATAATTAGTATAAGTGTCTGTGTGTTTATTTGGGGTAAAGCTGTGGTTGGACAAGGTGGGGAAGAAACTCCATCTACAAAAGCAGGCTGAACAAGTCATAGGGAACAAGCTAGTAAACAACAGCTCTTCATGGCTTCTGTATGAGTTCCTGTCTCCTGTCTCCTGCCTCCTGCTTCCAGCTCTGTTTGAGCTTCTGTCCTAACCACCTTCAATGAACAGTGATATGGAAGTATGAAACAAACTCTCATCATTTTTTTGTTCCTGAATGCCTTAAACGATTTGCCCAGATGGTGGTGGTGGTGGTGGTGGTGGTGGTGCACACCTTTAATCCCAGCACTGAGGAGGCAGAGCCAGGTGGATATCTGTAAGTTCAAGGCCAGTCTGGTCTACGGGCTGAGTTCAGGAGAGGATCCAAATCTACACAGAGAAACCCTGTCTTGGGGAAAGAAAAAAAAAAAAGGTTCTTCATAGAAGTAAATTCATCATTAATCTTAGTTCTTTTGAAAGTAGCTTAAAGGTCTTTAATTTCTAACTTACTTTATTGCTTTGCAATTGTCATTATTAATAAATATAAAGCACTTATCAAATCTAAGATTTTCCCATGGTGAGTGTGGTGACTTTTGTGATCACATCATCATTAAAAAGGAATTTGGTGCCTTTCTTACCTGTTTCTCCTTAATTCTTTTTGGTATTCAGATTTCTCCAATGCTCTCTTGTGGCTCTGGATTCAGTAAACTGGAGATTGTATGCATCTTCTCACTAGAGTTTTCCTACTAATGTTACTCATTTTTCCTCTGCACTGTGCTCTCAGCATTGGTGTAGCACACTTGCCCTTTACTGTGCTCAGCTCTTATCTATTTCTTCCCGTTACCTGTAGGAGTTTATCATAGAGTCTGTTGGCTTGTCTTAAGGCATTTCTATTATACCAGGATTTTCAGGTCACGGGCTTATATTTGTCATGTGATTTACTTATTTATTTATTTGTTTATTTATAATTCTGATTAGTGATATTACTGGTACTAATTTGTTTCATTCTAGTTAGAAATGGTAGTTCAATGATTTTGTTTGTTGAACACAGTTTGTTACTTCCTGGCTCTATTCGTTAATTCCTTATATAAAATGCATTATTTGCTGTGTTCTCATAAATTATTTCTTTCTGATTTTTTTCTTTCCACACTTTTTTCTAATGATGGCTCACAGTGCTACATGACTGGGGGAGCTGTGCTGTTTTATAGGCTTCTTTCTGTGCCCTTCCTTCTCTATGGATTTTAAGAGCCCATATTCCTGGGTGCAACAAGGTTCTTAGTCATTTTCTTTCCCCATTCTAAATACGTCTTTTGATTCTCTCCTATATACAGGGATGTTGATAAGTTTTCTGGTATCATTTTGGTTTTAAGTCTTTTAATGTGGTTTGGCATTGTCTGTAACAGAATTGTATTGATTTTAGCTTTGTATTTTTGACATTTTTTCTTGTGAAGTTTCAACAAGAATTCCAGTCTTTGTTTCTGAGAGAGAAACTGAGAGAAGAACAATGAGAAGAATGAATTCTTTGGTGACAAATGCTCCACAGGTCAGTGTCATGTCCACATTTCTTTGAAAAATGTTTTTATTATTGAAGCCATTCTAGACTTTAATTCTCCACCTTGGTAATGATATCTAAAATCTTGACATTCTATGACTCATCCTTGTTTTCTTCTCTTATAATCAAACATAAATCTTTAGATCATCCATCCACATAGCACAGCCATGGCCCATTATATTGTCACTTGATTTTATGCTCCAAGGACATAATTTTTATGGAATTAATTTACCTGCCATTCTGAAAAAGAATCCATTGTAAATGGTGCTCATAGAAGTCTGTTGATTGCCATTTTTACGTAGGATAGGTTTGTGTCCTTTTACATGCTGTCTAATGCTGGCTTCTAAAATTACTTGAAGGTTGTGAAGATAGTCTCCTAAGATATCTTCACAAAGCATTTGATTCTATGTGTTGCTTGGAACATTGATGTGTGTATTGATATTACAGTGCTTACTCTTTAAAGAAAGAAAATATTGATTTTAATTCGCCCATGAATTCTGCACTCTATATTCTACCTGTTTGTTCTAGAAAGGCTTCAGCAGCCTACCTGGGCCTCAGGATCTGAACTAAGCATTTTAGTATAGAGTACGGTGAGGCCCAGCTACAGACAAGATTGATCTAGTGTCCAGTATTTGAACAAGGTCAAGAGTTACAGAATTTGGAAAAAATAGTTTTGCTCATCATAACTTGACCATCTGAGACATGATACTGGGGTCCTATTTGATATCAAAACATAAAGGCACATTCCTGCCTCTAGTGCCCAATGTGTAACTATATAACTTAAAAGTTTGCTGGTTTAAAGACCATTATCTCATCCTGTTTTCACATTTATTAAAAAATACAGTAAAGACTATTTTAGAAAGTATCTTTAATTAAAATTAAATTTTAATTTAGGTTTATGTATAGTGGTATATTTGCCTGGATCTATGTGTGCGTGCTATGTATGCCTCCTGCCTGTAGAGTTCAGATGAGTACTTTGGTTCTTACAAAACTGGTTTTAAAAGTCAGTTGTATAATGCCCTGAGTGTGGTAGGAACCACACTACATTTTGAAAGACTTTAAAGAGTCATAACTGCAGAAAATAAATTTCAAATGAAGTGATGATGGCAAATCCTTTATCTGCCGCTCCTGTCTTAGAAAGCGCCAGAAACACCTTATGAATGTAATGTAATAAGTCATTCTACACATTGTCTCTGTTAGAGCCACAGTGCCTACCTTCTCACACATCTCTAGAGAGTTTCTCAAACTTTTGTCCTTGATTAATTGTTATGCCTCATCTGCATTACAAAACTATGTCTGATTCATTAGAAATCTTTTATCTAGGAAAGCATATTGTGCAGCAGCTCCTTGTAATTAAAACATGGTAATTGGGTAATTTTCCACTACAGGGTCTGTTATCATTCAGGGATGTGTCTGTGGACCTCTCACAGGAAGAGTGGGAATTTCTAGACTGTGCTCAGAGGGCTTTGTACATGGATGTGATGCTGGAGAATTACAGCAATCTACTCTTTGTGGGTAAGAATGTTCTTGTACAATACCTGATACATCCTTTGTATTTACTTACTTTATGTATATGTAAACTCTGTGAACTATCTAGAGACTCCAGCCCTAAGGCAAATTGTGGTTATTAACATAACTTTTTCATGATTTCTTTACATTTTTCTGTGTTCTCTGGAAGAATAGCCAATGCTGTATTCTGTGTAATTGCTCCAACCCTCTTATGTTTTCAATGAGAACTTCAATTTTTTTTTAAAAAAAATGTATATTCAGGGCAAGGGGACTATGTTACAGTACTCATAATAACTGAAATATTTTGATTTTGCTATTAAACTACTCTTGATTTTAAAAAATTCAGAATGTTATTAGTAGAGAAAAAGCTGATGATTGTAAGGATGTTCTACTTTCGGGTTTTTTGAGACAGGGTTTCTCTGTGTAGCTTTGGAGCCTGTCCTGGAACTCGCTCTGTAGAACAGGCTGGCTTCAAACTCAGAGATCCACCTCACTGTGCTCCTGAGTGCTGGGATTAAAGGCAGGTGCCGCCAACACCCAGGGAATGTTGTTCTTGTATTTAATTTTTTGAGATGTACTCTTTGTGGAAAAATTTCTTTTCACCTCCTTATGCCCTAAAACACAAACTGGCATAGCGTGCTTTTAATCGTGGCACTTTGGATACTGAAGCAAGAGGGTGTGATGAGTTCCGTATCACCTGGGAAATAGAGCTCCTAGCTCAGCATTGCCCCTCAGAGTTGTGACTCTGCCTCAAAATCATAAACAAGAAAATAGAGGATTATTCTTCAGATGATTCTTTAGACGGCTCCCTTGTCAAAGTTATTTGTTGCTTGGTCACCCATTTGTCCTCCCTTCTGCAAGGGAGATAAGAATGAGAGGCCTATTATTGGTCGTTATGGTTTGATACAGATCAGATTGGAGGCTCTTATGAGCATGTATTTAATGATTGTGAGTCAGAAAAGGCATTTGTGGGGAGCTGAATCCCTGAGAATTTCTTGTTTACATGTCGTAGAAGACATTGGTTATTGAATCTTTTAGTCATGCATTAATCCCTGTTGTCGCAAACTGAATTAATTTTCCAGGGAACCATTGCAGATTCGATAAATATGAGACAGTCTTGGATCAAGGCACAAAGCATGATCATGTGAATATCCAAGAGAAGCCTTCTGAATATAATGAACTTGGAAAAATTATGCTTGAATCTTCTGAAAGTACACTGTATGACATTGCAGAAAACTGCAAAGAGGACATAAACAGATATAAAGGTGGGAACACTGGAGAAGAACCTTATACATACAAAGAATATGTAAACTCTTTAGATTTGTGTTCCATTCTTAGTCAAAATCAAAGAATCCACTCAGGAAAAGAAGAACTCGAGGATACAGAGTATGATGAACCTTTTGACTCTGAGCTTGTGCTCACAATGGAAGGAGCCGATGGTGCAAAGAAACCACTGCAATGCCAGGAATGTGGAAAATGGTTCAAGATGTACTCAAGCCTCACTAGTCATCAGAAAACTCATGCAGGAGAGAGACCTTCTGAATGTAAGCAAGGGAGTGGGACCTTCTGTGCATGGTCCCACCTTGAGTACCATGGTCCAACCTGTACAGGAGAGAAACTTTATATATGTAACGAGTGTGGTAAATCCTTTTGTAGATTTTCTCATCTGAAAAGACATCAGATAACCCACACAGGGGACAAATGTTACAAATGTAATCAATGTGAGAAATCCTTTACCCAGAAAGTCAGTCTTCGAGCTCATCTGAGAATCCACACAGGAGAGAAACCTTACAAATGTAGTGAATGTGACAGATCTTTTACCCAGAATACCCATCTGAGAACTCACCAGAGAATGCACACAGGAGAGAAACCTTACAAGTGTGGTGAATGTGACAAATCCTTTACTAATAGTAGCCATCTTAAAGCTCATCAGCGAATCCACACTGGAGAAAAACCTTACAAGTGTAGTGAATGTAACTTTACCTGTGGCTCTCATCTTAGAAGACATCAGAAAATCCACACAGGAGAGAAAACTTACAAATGTAGTGAATGTGACAAATCCTTTGCCGAGAACAGCAGTCTTAGAGTTCATCAGAAAATCCACACAGGAGAGAATCTTCACAAGTGTACTGAATGCGACAAATCCTTTATCAGGAAAGGCTGTCTTATAACTCACCAGAGAATCCACACAGGAGAGAAACCTTACCAGTGCAGTGAATGTAGCAAATCATTTACCCAGAAAAGCAATCTTAGAACTCATCAGAAAATCCATTCAGGAGAAAAGCCTTACAAATGTAGTCAGTGTGAGAAATCTTTTATCCAGAAAGCCAGCCTTACAGCACATCAAAAAGTTCATATGAGAGGTGCCTTAGGAATGTAAAGAATGCAGAAAAGTCTTACCTGCTTCTCGTGTAAGAAATCACCTGAAAATTCATAACTGCGAAGAAAAATTTCCATAGAAAATAACATGGCATTTGCTTCCACCAAACTCTGCCTTAACTGCGGTTGGAGCTTTGTGCTAGAGGAATCATGAGCAGGAGAAACTTGTGAAAACCTTTAAATAATGTTTAATCTCGGAAACAAGAATTTATGTTGAGGGAAATTCTGACAATGTGACAATGTAGGGAATTTTTCATTAAACTTTTACTTGTTCAACCTGGAATACTTCATATTGAAGACACCTGAAGAACGTGCTGGCGTGCAAGAGTTTCCTAGAGACTGAACTGATCCACTCTGAAAGGAACCTGAATAAGGCAGGACATAGAACGTGAAGCTCCAAAGAGCTTCAAGAAATCCCTGAAACTGACCAGATTCCATATGCTTAAATGAAGAAACTCAGACAAATCATGCCTCTTAAAAGAAGAAATTGAGTCACCAAGACGGGCTGGTTGCTGGTTTCTTTTTTCTTTTTTCTTTCTTTTTTTTTTTTTTTTTTGGTTTTTTTGTTTTGGTTTTTTCATGACAGGGTTTGGTTTTTTCATGACAGGGTTTCTCTGTGGCTTTGGTGGCTGTCCTGGAACTAACTCTTGTAGACCAGTGATCTGCCTGCCTCTGCCTCCCGAGTGCAGGGAACTGGCTGTTCTTTTTCCTGTAAATATGCCCATGTTTGCTCTGGGCATATCCACTATTCAATCCCATGCAGGTTGGATTTTAATGATGGCAACTGGTTTTTTGTTTTTTGTTTTTTGTTTTTTTTCCCCCATAACTCTAGTAAAGTAACTCCTTCCCCATGTTTCCTTAAGGAAGGCAAATAAAGCTGATTGGCTCAACAAGTTACACTTGTTTCTGTTCTCAGTTGCCAGTTGGGGTGAACAGTTGCATATATGTGTTTCACCACTCCAAGAAACAAGTGTTTCATGAAACATGCTGAATCCATCAATTTTTCCTCCAAACTTGTATCTAAATATAGCAGCTGTTCTCAAGCCCTCAGCATGAGGGTTACAACCCCCTTTGGGTGTCAAACTACCCTCTCAGTGGGGTGGCTGAGACCATAGGCAAACACATATTTCTGATGGCCTTAGAAACTGAGTGAGACAGTGTTCCTTCATCCATCACAAGACCCGATGGCCCACGTGCAGATATGCCCACATTGGGCACCTGGAACTGTAGTAAAGGCCTTGCAGCATTTAGAACTTGGTACGACTGTATTAGAGTGAAAACATTTGAGTCAAGGGAAGCAGGCAAGCTTGTGCTCAATGCTCCAGGGTTACTGCCATAGTAGTACTTACAGAAGACAAAAGGACTCTACACCTACAGAATTTAGAAGGTTTGGGAACCTCAGAAGGCTGTTCTCTTCCTTGCATTCTAGAAGTAGTGATAGAGATGTATGCAAAACAATAAATGAAAATTCACCTACCAATGGACGTTGGTGGCGCAGACCTTTAATTCTAGCACTTGTGAGGCAGAGGCAGGCAGATCTCTGTGAGTTCGAGGCCAGCCCGGTCTCCAGAGTGAGTGCCAGGATAGGCTCCAAAGCTATGCAGAAAAACCCTTTCTCGAAAAACCAAAAAAAAAAAAAGAAAAAAAACAAAAAAAAAAAAAAGAAAATTCACCTACCAGTGTCATCCAAACTGGGCTGTTTTCCATGCATGGGTATGAAACCAACCAAATATCCCACATTTCAACCAAACTCCAATCACCTCGGAAAAATCCTACTCATGGGCAAATACTAAAGACCACTATCACACTGCATTATAAACCCTGAGAACTGAATTTCAATTCCTTTTGTTATATCTTTTACATAATGCTAATATTGAAGTCATTCCAGACTATTCATCATGAAAAACAGGAAGACTCGGATATTTTGGACCTTAGACAATGTAGTATGTTATAGTGAACAAATGCATATAATTACAGAATTTCCTCAGATCTCAATGCAAGAAGAAAGTTATATTCATAGGAAAATATTGCTCGAGAATACTTTGGTGTTCTCAGAAATGCAGTTCATTGAAACCTGAGCTCGTATTTAGTGCAGTCTTAGTAAATTCAGTCATTTGTTTTCAGAGGATCACAGATCATTTCTGTCAGTTGTGCTGAGTCAGGAATGTTGAACGTCAGGTAGCAGATAACGGAAAGTTAGGTCTCTGGACCGACTGTCAACACTCTGGAGGTTACAACCAGTTGGACAGACTCTGGGATTCCAATTTCAGGTGTTTGATGGGTTGAGGCTCCTCTGCTTATTTACCTTTAGGTCATTACCCTAATTCATCACAGATTTCCAGTGTCATTTTAAACTTATAAACGTGTGTACATTGAAAACACATCTCCCTGTACCCCCTTACACTGTATTTTATTTTTCATTTTGTAACTATTATATACACAGCTCTTGTCTGTAGTGACCACAGGCATGTAACAAGCCTGTGTAAAATCGGTTCAGGTACCCTGGCAGCTGGGGGTGTGAGGAAGAGTACATGGATAGAGTGGGGTACGTGCAAATCAGTGGGGCAGGGACAGCCATCAGGATCGATGGCAAATGAAGCAGAGGCTCTGTTAGGATTGGAACATTCAGCAGCATTTGTCAAGAGCCAGATTACAGGAGCCTGATGGGAATTCCTAGAGAGAACTCAGAGATTACCTTTCTAGGAATCAGACAGGACCTTGCAGGCACCGGGAAACTCCTTTCAGCTCCAGGACACCCTGTGGTACATGCTGGGGAACTCAGGAGTCAGCTGTGCCATGAGATGAACGGAAACGGAGTGGAGTTGCACAGCTCAAATACGGGCATATTGAACTGGCCACAAGGTGTGATGAGTTTCCTCTGCTGCCGAGCAGGTAGACATGCTCTCAAATACTGTTACTCATACCTCTGCCTCTGAGAGGCAAAACAGCCAATCACTAAAGAGTTCTTACCTCTACCAAAGCTCAAACCAAAGTCGGCGATCCTGTCCTCAGTGTGACTGCAGACTGATTGACTCCTGTCTCCTCCCACCTTTTTTTTTAATTTTTTAAATTTTTTTTTTTGTTTTTTCGAGACAGGGTTTCTCTGTGGCTTTGGAGGCTGTCCTGGAACTAGCTGTTATAGACCAGGTTGGTCTCGAACTCACGAGATCCGCCTGCCTCTGCCTCCCGAGTGCTGCGATTAAAGGCGTGCACCACCACTGCCCAGCCTCTATGGCTAATTAGTGTGGCTGCTGGGATTAAAGTTGTGTGCCACCAATGCCTGTATAGCTGACTAGTGTGGCTAGGTTCGTACCTCTGATATTCAGGCAAGCTTTATTTGTTAGATCCCTTCTGAAAAATAAAACGAAACAAGGAGGAGAAAATACTAGTTTACTTATTGAGAACATGAGACAGAGCATTGAACAGAACCTTTGCTGAGACAGAGTTCGCTTGTCAACACACCCATCATCACTGTGGAAAAAAAATGGCAAAAAGAAAAACCAGAATACTGCAATCTGCATGTCCTCCTAGACATATCTATCTTACGTCAAAAGCAAGTCACATATTGCTTCCATCATCTGTGATTCTAGGGTGCTGTGATACTTACTATTAAAATTAAAGACAGCAAGTCCCCTTTAATTCTACTTTTCTGTAAATTGCTCACTGATGTCAGTGAAAAAGTCCATGTATTTGCATGTCTGCATTCTTAAGCATGTTTCTGGAAACAGTTCATTCCTGAAGGCAACCTATTTTGCCCGTGAGACCACCCTTCCTCGGTATTATAAAAGGATACAAGTCCATCCTATGTAGAAAAAGGCCATCAAGATAGTTCTCCGAGCTTCATTTATAATAGATTCTCTTACAGAATTGCAGATGTCAAATCCATGGAAATTATTGTCCTCGTGGAAATTTTCGAGAGAAAATGAAATGTGAATACTCTCTGTTATGTTGTCAAAATACCTAAGACTTAATAGACAAATATAGTCAATAAAAATATTGGAAACCTTATATTTTTATCTGTATAGTATAACATTACAGAATATTATAATTCCTTGTATGTCTCAGTTTATCCAGATAGTTAAAGGTTGAGAAAATTAGCAAAGGCAACGAGGTTAGTCATATATATTTATGTCGATTGCTCCTAATATGAATAGTCTTTAAAAACTAATGAACTTATTTATTATTAAATATTTTATTTATTAGATCATGTCTACATATTTTCATAATAAAGAATCATAATCCATACTGTTTTGGAGTCCTGTTGCTGTTTTCTTATTTTAAAAGGGAAATAACAGAAGTTGATTTTCAAGTTACATATAGGTATGCAATTGCAAATTTTTACCTACCTATGTATACATTCATAAGTCTTAATCTTTTTTTACAAGTTTTTTTCTTTTTCCCTTTTTTCTTTTTCTTTCTTTTTTTTTCCTTTTTTTTTTTTTTTTTTGGTTTATCAAGACAGGGTTTCTGTGTCGCTTTTGAGCCTGTCCTGTAACTAGCTCTTGTAGACCAGGCTGGACTCAAACTCACAGAGATCTCCCTGCCTCTGCCTCCCTAGTGCTGGGGTTAAAGGTGTATGCCACCACCGCCCGGCCTTTTACAAATTCTAAGTTCGTTCACTTGGAATTTCATGAGCACCCCCAACAGAAAGGTACCAGCCAAAACACAAGGGCGGCGTGGAGGTAGGGGTGGGGGTGATGCCAGGGGAAAAGCCCTGGAACCAGGCCCCGATGGGTGAGCCTTGGCAGATAGGCTGTGTAGGCAGAGCCTGGGCAGGCAGCAGAATGGATCTTCAGGCTCTCCTCTGTCCCTCGGTTGGCAGTGTCTGTGCTTTAAGGAGGAGCTCTGGGTTACAGCGGTGGCATTTAATAAGGAAATTGATCCCATTCAGAAACTCTTCCTGGACAAGGTAAGAGTACAAATCACAGCAACAGACATCGGGAGGACCTGTGGATACTGGCCCCGAGTATCAGCAAGAGCTGGACAGAAAGCTTTTTAAACTTAAACAGATGTTTGGTAAAGGAGACATGAACACATTCCCTACCTTCATTTGAAGATTCCAAATTTGAAGGCTTCGATAAACTCCAGTCCTGAAGAATATTATAAAATTCATCCGGTAATTTGTCATGAATTAGTTGTACAACTAATTTAAAAAATTTAAATAAACATTTGGTTCATAGTTTAAAAAAAAAAAAAGAGTCCTGAGAGATGAAGATTACATTTTAGCAACACATCTGAATATTCAAGACCTCAAATAAGGGGACTTTAACAACAACAACAAAAAAGAACAAAGAAAAGGGGGAAGAAAAATGCTAGACATATTTAGTTACATTTAGCCATCTTAATATTTTTTACTTTTTTATTTTTAGAGGGTCTCATATTTACATGTCCATTCCCTTGCTCTATCATCCTCCCATGTTCCCCAACAAGACCCCCCAACTCCTCCCCAGGGATAGTGAGGTCCTCCACGGGGTTCCATCAAAGTTTGTCATATTTTGGGGAGGGCCTAGGCTCGCCTTGCTGTATCTGGGCTGCAATAGTATCCCTCCATAGGGAATGAGCTCCCAAAGTCCATTTGTGCTCTTGGGATAAAGACTGGCTCCACTGTTAGAGGTCCCATAGACTGCCTTGACCTCCTAGCTGGCACCCACATTCAGAGCACTTGGTTCGGTCCAATGCTGTTTCCGCAGCTTTATGACTAGGGTCTCTGTGCTCTCTGTTTCTGCGGGGATTTCTCCAGCACCTTCTTGGCTCCTTTGCTCATCCCCCCTCCCTCTCTGAAACTAGATTCCAGGAGTGTGGTTCAGTGCTTAGCTGTGGGTGCCTGTTTATGCTTTGATCAGCTTCTGGATGAAGGCTCCTGTTTGTCTTTTCGTAACTGGGTTACCTTGCTCCTGGATGGTTTATTTTAGTTCCATCCATTTGCCTGCAAATTTCAAGAATCCATTGCTTTTTTCTACTGAGTAGTACTCCATTGTGTAAATGTACCACATTTTCTCTATCCATTCTTCAGTTGAGGGGCATCTAGGTTGCTTCCAGGTTCTGGCTATTACAAATAGTGCTGCTATGAACATAGTCGACGAGATGTCCTTGTTGTATGAATGTGCATTCTTTGGGTATATGCCCAGGAGAGGAATTGCTGGATATTGAGGTATACTGATTCCCATTTTCCTGAGAAACCGCCATACTGATTTCCAAAGTGGCTGTACAAGTTTGCACTCCCAACAACAATGGAGGAGTGTTCCCCTTTCTCCACATCCTCTCCAGCATAGACTGTCATTGGTGTTTTTGATTTTAGCCATTCTGACAGGAGTAATATGGTATGTCAGAGTTGTTTTGGGTTGCATTTCCATGATGGCTAAGGATGTTGAGTGTCTTTCAGCCATTTTAGATTCCTCTGTTGAGAATTCTCTATCTAGTTCTGCACTCCACTTTTTAATTGCATTGTTTGGGCTCCTGTACAAATTTGTTCAAGGGTACCACCTACCTTTTCTTCTAGGAGGTTCAGTGTGGCTGAGTTTATGTTGAGGTCTTTGACCCTTTTGATTTAAGTTTTGTACATGGCGATAGACATGGATCTGTCTGCAATCTTCTACATGCCAGCATCCAGTTATTTCCAGCACAATTTGTTGAAGATGCTTTTTTTTCCCCCATTGTATAACTTTGGCTTCTTTGTCAAAAATCAGTTGTTTCTAGGTGTGTGGGTTAATATCAGGGCTTTCAATTTGATTCTGTTGGTCTACCTGTCTATTTTTGTGCCAATACTAAGCTGTTTTGAGGACTATGGCTCTATAATAGAGCTTGAGGTCAGGGATGGTGATGCCTCCAGAAGTTTGTTTATTTTACCGAGTTGTTTTGGCTATCCTGGGTTATTTGTTTTTCCATATGAAATTGAGTACTGTTCTTTCAAGGTCTATGAAGAATTTGTGCTGGGATTTTGATGGGAATTGCATTGAATCTGTAGATTGCTTTTGGCAAGATTGCCATTTTTACTATGTTGATCCTACCTATCCAAGAGCATGGGAGATCTTTCCATTTTCTGCTATCTTCACTAATTTCTTTCTTTAAAGCTCAAAGTTCTTGTTATACACATCTTTAACTTTTTTTGGTTAGTGTTACCACAAGATATTTTATGTTCCTTGTGGCTATTGTAAAGGGTGATGTTTCCCTGATTTCTTTCTCAGCACAGTTATCATCTGTATATAGTAGGGCTACTGATTTTTTTTTTTAGTTAATCTTGTATCCTGCCACTTTGCTGAAGGTGTTTATCAGCTGTAGGAGTTCCCTGGTAGAGTTTTTATATAAATCCTTTTTGTTTAAACAAACTGAAATAACCTAGGACATAATAGTAACAATTAAATGTACGATTGTTGTAAGAATTTTTTTTTTTCCTGAGTGGTGTTAGACAATATATGTAGTCTTTACCCAACATATATAATCGGGCCTATGAGCTTATGGGAGCCAATTGCAGTCAAAATACTACGAGGACTAACTTTGAATGCTAGGGTACTAATACTGCACAACAGCTTCATGACCATGGCATCGGTGTATACATAAATTTTTACACGTATTACACTCTCATATTTTTCTCATATCAAATATTCCCCTTTACATTAATGGGCATTGGAGGGTTTCATTCTTTACCACCAGTGAAGTGCTTTAAAGTGACAATGGGAGGGCGCTTTAGTGACATTTAATACGCTCATCACTTTACCTGATCATCCTGTTGGTAGCATGGACCAATGCAAGTCCATCTATGTTTTTTGTTTGTTTGTTTGTTTGTTTATTTGGTTTGTCGAGACAGGGTTTCTCTGTGTAGTTTTGGAGCCTGCCCTGGCACTCGCTCTGGAGACCAGGCTGTGTGTTTTCAACCCAGGAGGCCACCAG